CCTGAAGGCAATTACAATTTACGATTACATCTGTTTTGCTTGGTGCTGCTTTTTAAGTGAAAATAACTGGAAACTATACACCTGGCTGTAACTGCAAAGGCCACCTGCTCACTGGTTCAATCAAAGTTTACCTACTCTGGTAATTTCATCTTACTCTGTACGTTGATTTTTCTGCCCATTAAGTGCACATTTTCTCATAGAATTCATGAAGATGCTCTAGCAACTAGTGGTTTTGAATCGGGATAGAGCCATCTCCCCAGAAAAAGGACACTCACACAGATTTTTGTCTCCAATTTCAAAACATTCTTAGAGAAGCCCACACATTCTCTACTTTCACTTTTCTTGGGCCTTTAGTGCCACCATCTCCGCATCAGCAAGTCTCAGCATCATTCTTCAATAACCAATCCCAGTGTTCCCACATCGCTCCTCTCTGTGCTCCCCGGGCCTGTCAATTCAACTGTATTATAACATTGATTACCTGAAATAACTATGTCTCTATTTCCCCATAAGACAGAAAGCTACAAGAGAGAAGAAATTACATACCTTCTTCATCGTGGTCTCCCAAGCACATAAATGCTTCATCATTCAGTGTTCACTTTGAAAATAAGTCTCTGGGCAGAGCCCAGGTTTTATTAGAAAAGGTAGAAACTGATTCTATGTCAGAACTAAATCCACATTTCCCAGAGAAAGATTCAGTCTTAAAAGATCACCCTCCTAAAACAAACGGCCCATAAAAGTTAGCAGTTCAGACATCACACATTAGGAAAGTGTCATCTTGGAAATTCTGGTTAAATCCTACAGGAGAGATTTGAAGTAGAATGCTTTGATTTCCTGTCACAATTACTTCAATCAATTAAGAACTGAGGGGCTGGTTTGAGAAACTCCCTATGAATTGGAACTTGGGAGAGGTTATTATTCACACTGCTCTTTTGGAAGCGAATCTTTAACCTGGCCATTAATCATAACTTGCCTGCTACAACTTTCATCCTATGCTATAGCCTGGCAAAACTAAAACTTCTTCTATTTAAATTCTCTCTTCACTTTCAATTACTAATTTCAGTTGTGTTCTCTGAAAGAGGGATTGATGTAGCACACATATTTGCATTTACTAAGGAAACCATTCAACCACTTTGGAAAGGCACAGATCAAGGTGGCCAACAAAAATAATAAGTGCAAACTGCAGCTTGCGGCTGCAGTCAGTCTCTCAGCTTACAGCCCCCAACAGAGAAGGTTATTGCTTAAACAGAGAGTGTTCGTAGATTTAAAAGGAACCTCTGTAGCCAGTAAGCCATCGTTTCTATGTACGTACACTCACGGTGGCACAAAGCCCTGTGTACCTGTGCACATGTTCCCCTTAGCTCCTTTCCTGTCCAATGGCCCATCACTGGAGTTACAGGCACTGTTAATTCATTAAGCACAAATATCCATGTGGCACAAAGTGCTCTGCTAGGCACCATGGGAAATACAAATAAGGGTAAGACACAGCAAGAGCTTAAAATCTGCAAGGGCTTAAAATCTGCAAGAAGAAGAAGAGCGCATAAATTATGATAATATACAGCATTATCATATGTGACATATGTGATAAATATAAGAGACCTGAGTGAGACCATGGGTGTTAAAAGGAAGGCAGGTTGCTTCCCATTGGAGTGACCAAGGAAAGGTCTCATCGAAGTGGGGGTGTTGCTGGATGGTGGGCAGAATTTGGACAAATGGCCAGGGGGAAGGATTCCAGGCACAGAAAGCAGCATCTGCCGAGAAGGAAAATGTGACTCAGGTCCTATAAGGATAGGATCTTAGGAAACCAGGGGGAAAAGACTGGAAAATTAGGCTAGAAGCAAACTGTCTAGGCCCCTAAAAACAATTAAGAACTTTCTACTTGAGGGAGAACAGGGAGTTGCTGCCCTAAGTTTTTGAGTAGGGGAGTGATGTGATAAAAAACAGTACTAAAGTCAATGGACTTAAAAGACCATTATCTAAAGTGAGAAAGTAAAATGAGCTAGAATTCGGGAGACCAAAAGTGAGAATGTTATAGCAATAATCTAAAAGAGAAAAGCAGCACTGGTTATGGTGCAAGGACTGATGAGTTGGGAAGATGTGAAGATGCAACTTTAACAATGGTTTCTGGTGTCTCATTCAGCTCCCAAATCTGTGAAATGAGTAGTAACAAACAAACAACATTGTACTGTACTGAAAGTGTTATCAATGAAGAAAATGCTAGAGAAAAATGACCTGCTCTCCCCAGCATATTTCCTTTTCATTGCAGAGTACTTCTGTCAGCTGATTACACGTTTTAAATCTAAATAGGAATTCCTAGCCTGTTCCCGGTGAGACCTTAATTATAGAACCTGAGCTAGGTGCTCCATTCCTAGTACTTATCTCCAAATGTGGTATTTCAGAAGACTGCTTCAGCTGATATAGTCTGGTTTGGCTTTTAGCAAACCTCACTTGGTTTTCCTGACTAGTAAAACCACGCTACTTTAGCAGTTTTCTCCAGATGTAAGATTCACGAAGCCTTTCTTAGAGGCCATGGTACTCATTCTCCATCTTCAGCCTTGTTTGCAGAAGGAGGCAGAGTGAACCTACAAAATCTCACATGCAAATACAGCTCTAAGAATTATTTTAAGAACAGAATCAAAATTCTCATCTGTTATAAGCATACAAACACAGGCAAACGCAAACAACTTTTCTACAAATTTTCCATACACTTCATGTGGGTTTTTATAGACACTGCATCTTTGCTAGGCTGCAAAAAATAGATCAGAGAGTCAGAAAAGCTGCATTAAATTCTAAGATGGAAGAACTCCAGAGACCTTCTAGGAGTGGGAATGAGAGTGATTTACTCTCACTCTGACAGATTTGCTATTCACGTGCAGATGGTTACATAATCGACTTGCTGATTGGGGCCGTAGATCTCCATCTTCTTTCAGGAGTTCCAGATTCAGGGCCCTTACTTTCTCTCTTACTGGACATATGATGTCCACTTGCTAAGAGAGTGTCTTTGAAATGATCTTTAAAATTTGTCACCCAGCACTTAGAGTGAACTCAGCCAATGTGATTTGCTTTCGGACCCAAGGGCCTAGAGAGTTTCCCCTCCCCAGCCTTCCAAAGCCTCTGGCTTGGACTGAAATCCCCTCCTCTGGATCTCACAACCTCGGCGGAGCACACTTCCCAAGAGACCCCATTGAGCCATGCCAAAAGGAGGCTCAAGAGGAGTGTCTATCAAGCAGCTCCAATCAGCTTCAGCTCATTTGTGGTCTGAGCAGAGCCAGAGGGCAGGTTAGGAGTCAGTGGAGGTAGTGGCAAGCAGGAACATGGTGGCTAAAAGTTGGGAGCAGCCTGCAGGCTGGCAGAGGGAGCCAGGAAAGCCAGGGATAGGTCCCAAAAGACTGTGGTAGTGAATGCCCAAACTGGCAAACTCATGATTCTGTGGCTGGGCCCTGGTAGCAAGCTATACTATATAAAGGTGGAAGATGAGAGAAAGGAGAGGGGAGGGCAGGGGAGGAGAAGGGAGGGAGGTCGGATGGAAAAGGAGAAGGGGTCCCCAGCTTGAGAAAGGCTCAACAAGAACTTGAGGTTCCCAGGCAGCTCACAGACACCTCCCAATTCAGTGCGGAAAAGCTATCTCTAGCTTCTCACCTTATTTGCCTGCTCCCCAGAAAGCTGCTTCTGGGGCACTTAATGACTTCCTCTTCCCCTATAGGTTCATTTTAACCTGATTCCTGCTAACGGGGGTGGGAGAGGTGGTATTAACACACCATGGGAATGACAGTTGCCTGGCAGTAAGGATAAAATTTCCTTTCCACTTTACCCTGAATCAGTTCCTACAAAGCAGCTGAAAACTTAAGAGTCAGCTCAAAACACAAATGTTCCTGTTTATTAATTTACAAATTTGTTTTATTCATTCATTCATTTAGGTGCATGCAGAGAGTTTCCCGCAGCCATCCCTACATCTCCCAAGCACACTGGTAGAAAGATGGGCATCCTCTATCCTTCTACCAGAACTCAGTAGGTTCATTTCTAATACCCCAGATTTAAGCTGCCCACAGTGTTGAACGCAGAGCCAAATATTTGCACGCCCTATAGCCCACGTCACCCACTTTCCCATTAACACTAAATTAAAACGCATCCATGGATTTCCTCTCCATTCCGAGGCTACAGGAGTGCGTGGCACATTGCCCTACTCCCCTGAAGCTCTTCGCTAACTTAAGACTCCAGGGTGAGGAAGTTAGCTGGAGCTTTTTAAAGTGCATCTCCAAAGATAATTTTGCTCACACCAGGAGAGCCCCCAAGAAACACCAGGGCCCCCTTAGATGCCGGAGACCACGCCCTACAGGAATAAGCCGCACCCTCTGCCCAGCAGAGCCTTGCGCGAGTAGCCCTCTTTCCCTGGGGCTAATCAAGTGCATGCCACATGTCACCACTCAGCCGGCGATTCTTCCTCAGAGGCGCAGACTTTCTCTGAATCCCCAGCAGGGGGGGTTAAGAGATTCAGGGGAGGCCCCGCCCGTGCCTTCCACAAAAGTCGCTTTCCCGTGGCTCGTGCCCTGCGGCCCCAAGGGGGTAGCCTGGGACGTGTAGTGGGAGGGCACAGAGGTTCCTTCCAGGACAAACTGCCAGCCTCCAGTGAGCAACCATGTGAGAGGCAAAATTCTGGGTGTGAGAAAGTAGCAAACTAGTCTGCGGCCAAACTTTCTCTCTGGAGCCTCCTACACCGAAAAGGGTTTGATTGGAACTCTGGAAGCCCGGACGCAGAAGGTGCCCGGGCTCCCGTCGCCGCGAGGGCGCCCCGCGCCTGGAGATGGGACAGTCAGTTCTTCCCGGTGCGTGCCCAGACACCAGCCCCGCTCCGCATCACCCCCACCCTCGGGCTGCGAAAGAGGAGTTCTGCGCAAACAAAGGGCGCCCCCTGCACCTCCCGCTATCCCGAGCGAAGGGTCCCAACGGCGACTCCGGGGGTCTTTGGTGCCCAGCTGAGGAGGCAGCCACGCCTCCGATCCTACCTGGGAAGCCGCGGCTAGGCGGGACGCGCAGCAGCAGCAGCAGCAGAGGCAGCAGCAGCAGCAGCAGCGCGGGCCGGTGTGCGGGGCTCCCCATGGCGAGCGGGCGCATAGCTCGCCTCGGCAGCGCAGCGCGCTTCCAGGGGCGGGAGGAGACCCAAGAGACCAAGGGACTGTGTGCTAGCGGGCGGGCGAAGGCCGGGCTGGAAAACTCCTCCTCTCGCCTCTTTTCCTCCCTCCTTCCCGCCTGGGGCCTGCCCTCCTTTCTCCGCCCCACTGGAACACTGCGCGGTTTGGGGCTCTGACCCACCCACCTCCTCCTTTTGTGCCAGCGCTTTCTGGCCAGAGAGCGCTGGAGACATGCCCCAGCAGAGCGAAATATCCTAGAGTATCTTTCTTTGCTCCAATTTGCGCGCCCCCTCACCCGGAATACACACACGGGTGGCTCAACCTCCTAGAACATCCCAGACGTCTAGAAGGATACCATCTGTGCAGAAGAAAGCTGTGTGAGTCACACGGAAACAGAAGGGGCAACCGAGGGGATTCAGAGTGGCCACACTGCGGCCGGATACTATGGCCACGTTCTCTGGTATGATCCTCACGACCATGCCCCAAGTTCGCTATTACTATGTCCACTTTCTCCAAGAAGAAACCGACGCTTAGAAACTTGCCCAGATTCACCCCCGTTACTGGCAGAGCAGGGACTGGAACTTACGTGTGGAGTTCTGCTGACGTCAAAGTCCATACTACAGTTTTTTTTGGTTTGTTTGTTTCTCTTTGGCAAAGGAATAAATCGAGGACTGGACCGGGTGCGTGCCTGCTGTGCTGCGGTTTAGGATGGGGCTTGAGGTTCTCCTTCCAGGATCAGCTGATGGGAGAGCACAGGCACAGAAAGTTCTCTGTCTCACCCACAGCCTTGGGGATCCAGCTGTAGGTTCCTGCAGCCAGATTTCCTCATTTCCTGGGTTGTTCTTAACCACCCCAAAGATACCACGACCAGACTGGAGCCTCCTCCCTGTAGCTTGGCATCGCTGGATCCTGGCATCAGGATGGGGTTTCTAGGCTGCCCGCAGGACGGATCTGGTTTCTTTGAGGCATTTGAGTAAGCCTCTCATGGTTTTGTTTGTTTGTTTGTTGTTTGGTTGTTTAGTTCTTGTTAAATCAGTAAGGCAATACGTTGCCCCTTTACTGTCTCAGAAAGATCTTAGCTAAGGCTAATTTTAGTTGGGGTTGCTGCATTAGGTTGTGCAGTTTGTGCACCGTACAAAGGCACCCAGAGGAAGGGGCAAGTGGGAGCCAAAATCCAGATGCCTTTGGGTTCAGGAGCTTTGTGTCTTGGCAGGGACCACATCCACTGTAGAAGGGCATTTTTCTCTCTGCCACAGTAGTCTGGTCTGACAGCTAGGCTAAGAGCCCTGGGAGCACTCACCTAGAAGTTCTGAATTTGTTTATCCAGAAGGAGTGCTGTTTCTCAATTCTCACAAAAGCCCCAGACTTGAACTTCCATCTTACCCTCTCTAGCACTTGGGGGGGGGGACTTCGCTCCATCTCCCCTGGGTTTCTCCACTGCTGCTACCTCTTCAGGGAACCAACCTTTAAATAACCCCCCAGTCGCAGGAAAATGGGGGAGGTCTGGCTCTTCTGTGGCCTCCATCAGACCAGACTCTCCAGGGAGTCATTCTCAACCTTGTTTACGTGGGTCACCTGGGGAGCTTCGTGAGAATACCATATCCAGGCTCTACCTCACACTAATGAAATCAGAATCTTTAGGGATGTGACCTGGAGTTTGACCGGATGCATATTTCTGTCTCTCCCCAATCCCCTAAGCTCTGCGGTACAAGTTTTAGTATAGGATAAAAATTCTAGACCAGGAGTTTCTCAACTTGGGCACTATTGATATTTGGGGCTAGATAATTCTTTCTTGGGGAGGGGGACTGCCCTGCACGATGAGAGATGCACTGATGGCCTCTATGCAACAGATACCAGTAGCAATCCCCCATTCCCCAGTTGTGACAACCAAGAAATGTCTCCAGACATTGCCAAATGTCCCCCGGGGGAAAAATGCCCCCAGTAGAGAACTACTTCTTTAGGACCATAAACAAGGGTTAATGTGCACCCCAAATTCCACGTCCAGGATAGCCTGGCCAGCAGCCTTCCTTTCCTATGTCAGCTCTGAAGCAATGTGTCTTAACCACAACCCGTATACATTCTATTACGGGGCTGAGAAGGAACTTCTAGCTCTCTCCTATCCACTGATTCTTTCTGGATTACAAGAAACACCACACTTACTTTTGCGTTGCTCTCTGGCCTTTGAATGTCCTCACCACAAAGAAATAAATCAGAAATGGATAAGGTGATGGTCACGCAAAATACTGACTTGAGGCCTGGTGCAGTGGCTCATGCCTGTAATCCCAGCACTTTGGGAGGCTGAGGCAGGCAGATCACTTGAGGTCAAGACTTCGAGACCAGCCTGGCCAATATAGTGAAACCCCATCTCTACTAAAAATACAAAAATTAGCTGGGAGTGGTGGCACACACCTGTAGTCCCAGCTACTCGGGAGGCTGAGGCAGGAGAATTGCTCGAACCCAGGAGGCAGAGGTTGCGCGACTGCACTCCAGACTGGGCGACAGAGCTAGAGTCCATCTCTCTCTCTCTCTCTCTCTCTCTCTATATATATATATATACTGATTTGATTTTTTCTTTTTCTTTTTCTTTTCTTTCTTTCTTTTTTTTTTTTTAGACAGGGTCTTACTCTGAATTTGAATTTGTTTATCCAGAAGGAGTGCTGTTTCCTGGCTGGAGTGCAGTGGCACAATCATAGCTCATTGCAGCCTCAAACACCTGTGCTCAAGCAATTCTCCTGCCTCAGCTTCCTGAGTAGCTAGGACTACAGGCATATGCCACCATAGCCGGCTAATTTTTTTTTTTGTAGAGATGGGAGTCCCATAAATATGTACATTTACAATGTGTCCATTAAAAAGTAAGCAAAAATAAAAGACATGAAGAAACATCTCGATATAATGTTTATAGAGCAAAATAACATTTGTTGTTTTCATTGTGCAAGGATATCTTGAAGGATAGATCCAAGCTCAGTTGCCTCTTGTATTAATAAATCGAAATAACCCTTTCATTTTTACCTAACAAAGATAAAGGGGAGAGAACAAGGTGGTATTCTTACCTAGTGGGAATACTAAAAGGAATGCCATTGTTGTCAAAATGTAAAAGGTATAAAAATCACGTGGGTTAGAGTAATAGGGAACACAATTAGATATAATATTGGGCAACCATTATTTTTCCTTGACAAGCTTGAAGTATTCTATATAAACCTTGGGAAGAACTAATATGAACATGAAAAAATAAATTAAGAGCCTGGAATGAGAAAAAAAAGTATCTTGCTCTCTTTGCTACCCTATAGAGAAAATTCCAATGGGACTTCTATTTTTCTTATTATTTTTATTTCAGTTTTCTCTCTGCTAGAAGAGATGAGGGTAGAGGTAAGGTAGAGGAAGAGATTGTCAATTCATTCTAATCCCACAATATCTTGGAAGATAATCAGATAGTTAAATAGATTCATAATCTATCAAATAACTTATGGGTTAATGAGTTGATGAAAACAAAGAGAAGTCACTCAGGGAGTGCCACAGACCTATGACACCATTCCTATCCTGCTTGATGTTACTATTTATGAACTAGAAAAAGATATTTTGGGCAAAGGACATGAAGATAGGACGGCAAGAAACAGGTTCCAAACATCTCTCTAGGCAGGCGTGCTGTATTGAAACATTAAAAGACAGCAAAGATAAAAATGATGTCCTATGTTAGATCTCAAAAACCAATCACACATGAAGAATCTAAGAATCTCTAGAAAGTCAGGTAGTCTCCCCACTCCATCAGGCTCATCTGTGCAAAGAAGTGCATATAAGGTGTTGATTCAGCATTGCTCATAGTAACAAAAGGTTGGCGACATTTTTGTAAATGTAAATATCCATTAATGAGGAATTATTTTATTAATTATGCATACCTATGTAACGGAATACTACACGGCCATTAAAAAGAATGAACAAGATGCATATGCATCGATAGGAAAGGTACTCTCAGATCTTTTGTTTAATGAAATAACAAGCAAAATAATACACATATCTTGCTACCATTTGTGGTATGGGGAAGGCATGATACTATATCAGGGCATGGGGAAGTCAGAGTAGGAGAAATAATTTTTTATTACTATACAATCCTTTGTACTGTTTAAATGTGTAAACATGTGATGATATTTCTTATTTAAATTAAGCAAATCATTGAAAGTGTTTTCTTTAAAAAAAAGAATTACACTGATACAGCGTAGGGGTTGCCAGTAGTGGCTTCACAGCTCAACCTACGACAGTGCAATCTATTTGCCTATAAGCTAAGTCTCCAAGGCGCCTCAGGTGCATGTCTTGTCATCTGAAGCATTCCTGAGTACTGGGCAAAGTACCGGAGGTGAGAAGAAGAGAACACAGACATCAAAGTCTGGCAGGAGGAGGGAGGTATCTTTCCACTCTGTGCAGTGTTGAGGAGGTTGTAGTCAACAAAACAGTCTTGTCCCCTGAGTCAGAGCAGAATGAGCCCCAGGAGAGAAGGAAGGAAAAGGATTCTCAAGAGTCACCTCCCTGCCCCCAACTTTCTTCCTTGAGCTTGTCAACTCAGAGACAGCATCAAAAGAGACCCTGGCAGCCATCTATGTACTGCAGGACAGGTATTTTCTGAGAAAGAATGAAAGCCCTGTTATGCCCCTCCCGTTTTCCCATGCCTCCTCATTCTCCCAGCCCTCTCAAGCTGTTGCCAGAAAAGGGATCCCCAAGAATGGGTTCTTGGATCTTGAGCAGGAAAGAGTTAAAGGCAAGTCGCAGAGTACAGTGAGAAGAGACAGTTTATTAAAAGCTACTCAGTTACAGATTAGGGTGTCCTCAGAAATCAAGAAGAGGAATGCCTCATCTTTGTTTTAAGTTTTTCTTGTTTAGGAGTCTTATCTATGTAAAAGCTAAGCTATGTCTACATGTGGGTGGGCTGAAAGTATGACAAAATTTGTTACTTCGCTGATTTAAATAAAACCATCCTTGGCACTTAGGAAGCCAAGGATAAATACATCATAAATAAATACATCATAATTGGCATAAATCCATCAAAGCAAATTTATAAATACATCAAAGCATAAATAAATAAATACATCATAATTGGCTTAAGTACATTAAAGCGTAACTATAATGAACTTGAAATCATGTACTGTTATGGATATTGGGACA